TGGTAGATTGGCCATTTGTTACGTCATTGTCCTTAGCTTCTCTCTTAACTTTTCTTTGCTCCATTGTAAATAGCACCTTCTTCATTCGGAGAATATGATTAGTGCAACGCATCTGCATTCAGGGGATAAGATGAGATTTCAGGGGATAAAAACATAATATGCCAAACTCAGAAAAGGAAACATTCAATTCAAAAGTGAGAAAACCTGAGAAGCTTGATAATTCCTTGCTTCATGAAGCTAATACTCCATATTGCAAGATTAGTTTTTCATTTTGATGGCTTTTTCTTCTCCCTTTCTCTCTCTGCTAGAGTTCTGAATCCCTATTCCACTGTGGATCGCAAAGTGCTGGTTTCTATAAAGAAAAATTGCTGTATAGAGTTTCTATGGTTTAATAAGCAATAAAATACCAATAAACAAAGTGCACAATACTGATCTACTGTCTTAGGGTTACTCTTCCTGCAATAAAACACCATGACAAAAAAAAAAAAAAAACTTGGGGAGGAAAGTGTAGATTTGGCTTATACTTCTCCAACACTGTTCATCACTGAAAGAAACCAGGTCAGGATCTTAAACAGGGCAGGATCCTGCAGACAGGAGCTGATGCAGCGGTCATGGAGGGAGCCATTAACTAGCTTCCTCCCCTGGCTGGATTAGCCTGCTTTCTTGTTGAATCCAGGACTACCAGCTCATGGATAGAACCACCTACCATGTGTTGGGCCCTCCCTCATGAATCACTGAGAAAATGCCTTACAGCTGGATCTTATGGAGGCATTTTCTCAGTTAAGCTTTCATCCCTGCAGGAAACTCCAGCTTGTATCAAGTTGGCTTAAGACTAGCCAGCACGAATTATGTTCATAGCAGCATTATTTGTAATAGCCAGAATCTGGAAGCAACCTAGATGGCCCACAACTGAAGAATAGAAAAAGAAAATGTGGTCCATCCACACAATGGAGTAGTACTCAGCTATTAAAAATAATGAAATCATTAAATTTGCAGGCAAATCGATGAAACTTAAAAAAAAAAATCATCTTGACCGTGGTAAACCAGACCCAGAAAGACATACATGGCATGTACTCATTCACAAGTGGATATTAGCGGTAAAGGATAACACTACAATCCATTAACAAATTCTGTCTTAGTTACTATTATTGGGACAAAAACTACATGACGAGGCAACTTATAGAAGAAATATGGGCCTTGTAGTTCTAGAGAGAATAGAATCTATGACCACCATAATGACAAAATGTGGCAACAGGGAGATATGGCAACTGAAGAACTGGATATATAGCAAATGGATATATGGCAAGTTAGGAATTCCTATCTTGAAATCCCAACAGAAAGCAGAAAGAGATTGAACAGAAAATAGACTGTGGCTTTTAAGCCTCATAACTTTGCCACAATGACATTCTTTTTCTAGTAAGGTCATGCCTATTGAGTGGCCCCAACTGTACCAACAATTGGGGTCTAAACGTTTAAAACTTGAAAGACCAACATAACAAATGTTGGAGAATATACATGATATGACTCTGTGTGCCATCGTGAACAAGACCTATTTTAATCATTAGGTATAATAAATTGCATTTAGTTTGAGCCAAGGAAAATATCACTTTTGGAAAGGTTAAAAATTTCCAATGGCATATTTGATGGAAAATGTAGAGCATATAAAACACATGTCCAGCACTTATATGATGGAAGGAATTCCTCCAATGTCCTCGTATTTTCTGTTATTTCTACCTTGGACTAAGTACTGTTTAAAATGTGACATTAAAGCATTTGACCTTGGGTAGTGGCAGTCTCTGGAGGAGACCTACCAAGTTTCTGTTTCCATTTCACCTTTGTCTTAGGAATTTAGAGACATTTTTCCTTGTTAATGAGTTTTTCCTAGTTAATGAGTTCTCGGTTACCCTGGTAATTCTGGCTTCCCACATTCTTTCATTGCTGCTTGGTGAAGGCTTTAGTTACCAGGTCTGCCGAAAGTATTAAAGCCACACTTTGAATACTTTGGTTTTACAATCATTTGAGCAGAAATTCAACCTTGGAAGGTTACCACTGTGATCCAGTCCCCTCCATTTAAATTCTCCAAGGAGAAATCTAGAAATCTGGGGGTATTTTTTGTTTGTTTGTTTTTGTTTGTTTGTTTGTTTGTTTTGTTTTTTAAACAGAAACGCTTTGTCAATCTGTTGTGGAAACAGGTTTGGGAATTATCTCAGAAAGATTCATGGCTCAATGTGACCTAGAAACTTAATCAAAGGGCATTGTCCTCCACAGTCTGCCCTGTTTTTGAGTTATAAATTACAGTCATAATGAATGATAGCTTCATCTAAAGTCACATTGAATTTCCTTATGAAATTTAGTATTTATGCATTTGAAAGATAAATTATTACAGGTAGATTCTAGAGAGGAGTTGTATAGCTGCTAGTCAACTGTGAGTTCCTTTGACTAATGAAAATTTAATTTTTTGTCAAAGATCTGTACTCACAGCACAGTAAAAATTATCAGCAATCAGCAAATCATGTACTACATCCTAAAGGAGAATGACTCATGGAGATCTCACATATGAAAAAGGTGACATTAACAATTGTTTCAAAATACCTTTCAGTTCTGGAAATATAAAATTCCCCTTACTTTCTTATATAAAATAAATCAAATGCTACTCAGAACGATAAAAAATTAAACTTTAAAATTATTCTTACAATGAACAACTTTCACTTGAATGTATATACATAAATATCATTGCTTACATGCTGTAATCAGAAATAAAAGATGTTCATTTTGTACATCATGGTAAATTATATTTTATCCATGGGTAGAAACAAACAACTATTATTTCACTGTATAGAGATTTTTTAGAATGTGTTTTATGTTATAGAAATTTTGCTAGACCTCTAGTTTTGTGTCACTTTTAATAATATATTGGCCAATATCAAGTACTAATACTTATTGACATTCTAAAGATTAAAAAGTGGGAATTATGTCTCCAACTATATTTTCAGATCTGCTCTATGTTCTGGAAAAATAGATTATGACTAGTTTTCTTTGCCATATCTTGTTTAGATATCACGGTGATGTGGGATGTCCTTCTGTATTTGTGTTGCTTTATAGGTTGATGAATAAAGCTGTTTCAGCCAATGAATACAGCAAAATGGGAAATCTAAACAGAGGGAAATTGAGTGGTGAGAGGAGGTGGAGTCAGGAAGATGCCATGTAGCTGCCGAATGAGAAAGATGCGAGAGGTTGCTGGTAACTTTACAGTAGGCCACAGACTTGTGGTGATACATAGATCAATAGAAATAGGTTAATTTAATATGTAAAAGTTAGTTAATAAGAAGCCAGAGATAATAGAACAAAAAGTGTTATAATTAATATACTTTCTGTATGATAATTCAGGTCCTGGCACCTGGGAAACAAACAAGCAGTCTGCATTTGCATAATGATGCCCAATGTTTGGCAACATACTTCTACCTGAAGCCAAAGAAATCTTGAATAAATAAAAGACAGAAGTGGAAATGTGAGGAAAGACAGACTTTTTAAATATTAATCCCATGTCTACCAGTTAGAAGTCTACTTCACATTGTTGTCTCTACAAAAATAAAATATTGGAGCTAGAGATTTCAAAAATATGAAAGTAATTAATATTTTTATACCTCTACCCAATCCAGGGGACTCCATAATATATATATATATATATATATCCAAAATCAGCAGTTTGATATTTTCTTTTTAGTTTTACATTAATTTATGGATCAGAATTTGACTTTTGGAAGTCAAGTTTATTTCTAAAGTACTCAATTTCTAATTCCTAGCAGCTGACATTTACCTCTAGCTGTTTGTTTGCTAATTTTGGCAGTCTCAAAAAATACAGGAAAAGGTCAGAAATATGTTTCACATAGTAAACAATCTTAATTATCTTTATTAAATGAATTTTGGTTTAGAAGTTCATACATGGAGAAAGCAGAATATTAATTCTCAAGTCATCAAGATAAGATGAAAATATCAGCAGTATCCATACATTTCCATTTTCAAATAGATTTTATACTTAGCATGGATTATTTTAGTTTTGCAACTTATTTGAAGTATACTGAAATTAATTTATAGTCTTTCCTTGTTTGAAAGGAGGCAATGGAAACTTTTAGTGAATGGAGCAAATAAATGGGACTGGGAAAGAGCATTTTTGTTTGTCTCAATTTGTGGGGAAAGGGTACTATCTATATTAAATATCAGTGGCTTGGGGTTTTAAGATGTTCTAAGACTATTATAGCAAAAAAAATTCCCTAGAAAAGAGTCAATAATACCATTACAAAGTAGAGTAGGCCAAACATTGATCATGGTTGCTTATACAAGCATTCATATTAATAGCCATTAATGCTTTAAGTTGATCAATTAGGAAATGATGTGTCAACCATTTTAATATAGCTTATCATGTGAAGAATGCATATCTTGATATATATACTCATGGACTTTATTCTATATGAATGAATAAAAATACCAAATTTCTTTGCATTCTTTGTTTTATTTTTCATTTTGTTGGTTTTGTTCAGGAATTTCTTTTCAGAGTTGAGATTGTATAGGGTTTCTTATTTTTTTTCCAGATTACTTTTCTGATATGAAATAACATTAGTAAAAAGGAGAGTGGAAGACTAGGCAAGTTTACGATAGCATCAATGGATAAAACATAGTTGAATGTAAACTTAACACAAGACATCAGTAAAGAATTTCTACACAACGTAGGCAAGGACAACTTGAAGTTGAATTATCTAGTGGGAAGATACAATTAATATGTAACAGAGAAGGAGAAGAATTAAATAAAATGTTTAATGCCTCATGTGATAGCACTGAATAAAACTTTTCAATGCTACTAAAGAACCCATAGAGGTCTCAGATAATAAGTTCTATTGTCAAAAATTTCAACACCCCTGTGTTTATTTATAAATTTTGCATAAGTAAATTTAAAATGCCAATGTAAAGCGCTTGTGGCTTGAAACATGGTTGAGCCCATTGTGAAAATAAAAAAAGATCAAAGAAATGTCTTGTAAAATATAGTGGGTATATATGTCATTTTAATATACCAAATATTAAAAGCATCCTAAAGGTGTGAAGAGATAATATAGTATCATAATATAAACACACGTTTCAGTCATAGCAAGAAAATGATATAGAAAAGCCAGCAATACAGCTAACATATAAACCATAATTTGGTTCACACACAATCAATAATAGATGCCACTCTATAAGACTGGGATAAAGTTCGTGCCAAATGTTATGGAATAATTTTTAATCATCTAAATAAAAATCAGTTGTCTTGGTATTTTCAAGAACTAAAAATCCTGCAATGCTAGATTGCTCCAAAGTTTAAAACTGAAACATAAATGTGTATATAAAAATGATAAAAATAATAATTTATAAAATTATTTACTATATAATATGGCATTAGAATCTTTAGAGGTTTGATTGGGAATGTGTCCCATGAGGGTCAGATGTTGGTGGTGCCAGGTGAATGGTTTAAGAGGCATGGTTGGAGGAAGTGCATCACTGCGAGTGGACTTTGGGGTTTACAAAGCCCAGTGCCAGTTCAGTTTCAGTTTGCTATCTCTTCTTCCTGTTTGTGTTATGCAAATGGAGCTCGCAACTCTTTCTGTTGCCATGTCTCCCTCATGTTGCCACCATTCCCTGCCATAATTGACTCGTATCCCTCTGGATCTATATGCTCCAATAAACTCTTACTTCTATAAGGAGTGTTAATACAATAATAGAAAAGCATCCCATTCGCACCCCTTTAAAGAATGACCAGAAAGCACATCATTAAATATTAACCCATAAGATCAATTACATGGCTTAATCTGTTTATTATTTTGCCATTTTAAACATACAAATAGAAAACTAATATCGCCTATGCTGAACACATTTTCAATTCAGTTCATAAGATATTAATTTCCACACATGTGAATTATAGATATTCTCAAAATTAAAAACACATTTGCCACCATTTGAGCCAATATTTCTACAGCTTGCCTCACAGAAATTTTTGGAAGGCTATTATAATAACAGAGTAAATAATTGGAGGCCATCCCAATGCTCATCAGGAAACCATGTGACTGATCACGGAATTGATGTGCTATCAGCACACTCTAATATAGTGAGGCAGAAGGAAAGATCTCCATATGAACAATATGGGACCCTTTCCAGGATGGTAACATCTCTGAGTGAGAAGAGTGTATGTATGAAGGCAAAGTAACAGATCACTTAATTGTTCTGGATATGTTATGCTACATATGTCAGGACATGTAACTAAATACACACCTATTTATTCATATTTTATTTCTAGAAAAATTCATAAATTATGGTTTACATCCTCAATGTCAAAATGAATTCATGTGGGCAGCAGGCACACAGTAATAGAAATAAGATTTCTTAGTGTTCATTTTCCAAAAAAAAAATTGAACTTTATACAATGTATCCACTTTACCAAAAAGTAAATATCCAATTATATTACACAAGTGTATGAAGTGTAGCATCTCCTTATCCTCATATAATAGCTTCTTCTATGTCTGACTCAAAAAACAACATGTAAATTGCTTATTTGAAATGCAAAGATAGTCAGTGATTTTCAGACATATATTGATAATAGCACTAAAATTTCCAGTTTTCAGCTTGATTGAGAAAATATTACCCCTCTCCTGTAACCATTGTGACATGTAGAAAAGAAGGTAGTGCAAACTTATTCCTATGTGCTTTGCTGGATGTTATTTGAAATCTCTTAATGAAGTTTTTGGTCATGGTTATAAAATGAGGTAGTAGACCTTATGACTTTAGTGATCAGTTATTTAAAATAGTCCATCTAGAATGCTTATTTTGAAGAGGACAATGACAAAATAAATTCTAGTAGAAAGAACCAACAAGGTCTTGAACAATCTTCAATGAGATAACTCCGCTTTAAAAAGAATGAAGCCATGCATAAAATCAGCACACAAGTTGGGGCATACTTCCATAACAAATTGGAACAAGAACGTACAAACCTATTAAAAAGTTTACTTTGATATTATATTCTACACATTTGTTTTGCCAAGAAATACTAACCAACCCCCCCAAAATGAATGTGCTCAAATTTATCTTAGCAATTATATAATTCTGCATGGCATGCAATTTGTTTGAAACATAGCTATTGAAATAAAGAGAACACTACAGACAGGATACAATAATCTTTTATTTTTCTGAATTAGTTATAACTTGAAGAAATGAAACTTTATATTTATCACATGAAGTTCACCAAACCAGTAAGGCAATATGAAAAGAAGCAGTCCAATGTTATTTCAAAAGCTATATCAGGTTGAAACTGTATTCCTTTATCACTAGAAAAATATGTTTTAAATATTACAATAACTCTACTCTAAAAATTTATAAAATGCAGCCACAGAAATATATTTTGTCATATACAATGGTGGTTTAAATAAATACAAAAATAAAAATTTAATGGGTTAGAAAGGTTTTTATATAATAATACAGCATCATAATTTGCAATTAAGAACAAAAATGATGCAGAGATTTAATTTAGTATTTAAGAGTTCTGGAGTATCTACCACTTCAAACTCAATGCTATGAAAATTTCTTTTTATATATGCACAACAATTAGATGTGCATGGATTAATTTAACTTGTACAAGCTAGTTAGCAATAAGCCTGAGCTATTGTTTGAGCATTTGCAAGTAATACAAGCTTTAGTGTATTTATTTGAGAGTTGGTGGTGGGACATAAAATTTCACCTACATAGATGTTATAACATTGCCATTAAATTAAAAGGCATATGAGTTGTTTTAAGTCAGAAACTCTTAATAAAATAATTGAATGTTTTTCTGACTTAAACTTTATGCAATGCATATATGTACTGAAATACCACATAGTGCCCCCAATAATGTATACTTTTTATGTTAATCAAAAATGATGCCATGTAAATATTTAATATTTACTCCCTAAATTTATAGGTAGAATGCCAGTTAATATTGTTAAACCTGCTTACATGCATGTGTATATACAAATTGCACAAGTAAATATAATGTAAAAAAGTCAGAAAACATGTTAAAACCCTTTAGAAGTAGCAATTCACTTCATTAATGGAACAAGAACCTAAGAAGTTGGAAATAACTAATTAAGTTAGAAAGGCAAATAATAAAAGAACAAGATAAAAACTTTGCTGGGTGACTGGAGTTAAATGGTTATGTAAATATATACAACCTAATATATGAGAGAAGCCGAAAAGAAATACATAATAGATTAGAACTGCCAAAATGGAACACAATTGTTCAAAAGAAAAGAAGACTTAAAGTACATTGAATGTAGGTATTTACTGGGTGTGGTGGCACACAGCACTTGGGAGGTTGAGTTCTACAGTGGGAGTCCCAGAACAGCCAGGGCTACACAGAGAAACACTGTCTTGAAAATCAAAAGAAAACAAACAAAAGAAAAAGGAAAAAACGAAAAAGACAAAAAGGAAAGAAAAGTAAGTCAGCAGCATTTCTGAGTAGAGTGGAAGAGGCCACCAGAGAAAGGCATGCAGAGGGTGCGCTCTGAGAACCTAGTCCTGGGAAAAATAAGTATCGTCAGCTGTGGCTTGCCTCTTCTAGCCGCGTAAGGCTAATTTGTGATTAATCTGCTAGGCTACTTAAGGGTTTGTAATTCACTAAGTTTCTCAAGATAATTAAAGCATTAAACTTTCAAGTCCTGTATTTATAAGCTTAACCATCAATTGAACAATAAATAGCATAGGATCCATGAGATCATTTATGATTTCCATCTGCATAAATAGGGCTATATTGAACTCTATTAGAATTTCACAGTGGAAACTAATTACTGTGTGACTTAGTGTAACAATCAAGTATAGAAATATATTTTAATAATGAAAGAAAAGTCTAAACGCTACAAGGAGTCTAAGAAATCGGCATTCTACAAAATGTTTTAGACATTCTTAAAAGTAAAATGCAAAGAGACAGGTGGATCTCTGTGAGCTCATTTGATGTCAGCCTGATCTACAGAGCGACGACCAGGATAGGCTCCAAAATGACAGAGAAAACCTGTCTTGAAACTCCCCTGCAGTGAAATCCTGTGACAATTCTTAGCATGACTGTTTTTGAATTTAGGTACTGCTATCCAGCTGCATACTATGATGTGCAACATTTATATTCTTCCTGAATACAAACTCCAAAGAGAAAGCTTTCATTTCAGGGAGACAAGGAGCCAAATGACTTATCATTTATGAAAGTCTTCTGAATTTGATCTCTATTGGTAACAATAAATATGTTCTATACTTTAGTGTATGTTTTATTGACCTAATGGACTGTTAACCAGGTGAACTTCCCTTTCACAAATGGCTACTCCATTCTTTCTTTAAAAATATCATTTATGTGAATGTGATTACTTATTACTTATTCCAGTATTTCCATAGAATAGAAATTCTTATTGTATGACCTGAAATTATATATTTTTTAAAGAAATGGTAGCATAGGTGCTTCCCAGATGTAAAACTCTATGGAAATTCAAGCATCTTCCCAAAGATACAGGAAGCAAGTAAAGCATGGGATGGGGGTGGGGGAAGGCACGACATTTGGAAAGAGCCAACTAAAGACTTTGAATCCACAATAAAACTGATAAAATCTTTAAAACTTTCAAACTTTAAAAGAGAAAACAGTTAAAGGTTGCATCAATTTGTATAAAAGAGAAATGTTATAGGAATAATACCTAATGCGCACATACTATAAATACATCAACTAACATGTCTACTTTATATAGCCTGACCTGTGTGAAATTGGCCAACTCAAGAAAACTAAGGTACATTGGTATTCAGTTCACGTCAAGATAATGAATTAATTATTTTGGCTCTGATGACATTCTGCCTTGGCTTTGAAGAAGGGAAAAGGAAAAGAGAGGTATGAAGAAAAAATAAGCTAGGAGGGGGGTAAATGTCTGTTTTAAAATCAAGCGAAACATTCTAATTGAGAGTGAAGACAGAATCCAGATAATCCATTCAATCTCTTGAATTCCCCTTAGTGTGCTTAGGACAGCTTAAAAGTTCTGAGCTCTTTTAACCACCCTGGAAATCCTGACAGCTGGCTTACAGGATACTAGAATAAACATTCAATTCTACTCTGTTCGCAGAGAAAAAAAAACACTGCTATATACACAAAGGACAGTAAATTCCACTTCAATGTACGCAGTTGGGAGTGCATAAATACAATTATGACTGAGTTCTTCAGTAACCTACACTCTAACTTCCAAAATAATGAACCTACAGCATTGTTTGATAGACGATCTAATGGGTAGATAGGAAGAACTTATGTATAGTTTGTGAGATCATGTTAGATGTGCTTAGGGGGAAGAAAGCTGAGTGTCTGTAGCACTTGACTTTGCCACTTCTGTGCCCAAACTGGTTCACTGTCAGGAATTATGCATGTCCCAACAGCTTCCTGTCCCTTAGACTTAGACAGCAGCCAGGAAGCGACACACATACACACACACACACACTCATGCACGCGCGCACGTGCACACACACACACACACACACACACACCAAATACATTTTACCACCTGACAATTAAAAAAGCAAGATTTGAATTAATCCATCTAGGACACATGCAACATAGGAGCCGACCTGTATTTTATAGACTTTAAACATTCTAATGATTCAGTGTTGTCCGCTCGCAGCATGGATAGTTTGATGAACAAAGTTGAGAACTGTTTTCAAATTCATGTCCTTCCTGTATCATGCGGGGGAACGGTCAATCAATTCCCATTACATTGTCTCTGTGTTACGTAACCACGGACTAGATCTCCTGCATCCCTAAATCACAGTTCATTGCTTGAACCTGTAATTAAGTCAAACTGGAAGCACTATATGTAAACGAACAACGATGTTCACTAGCTTTTTATTTATTAACTACTAGATATTTTTAGCACGGTTTACAGTTTCACAGAGTCATATATGGAACAGAGTTTCTAGTTCAATCACACAAAAAACATGATTAATTGTCAGAAAGAAGGCATCTGAGTTATGTTGACAATAGCAGTACATCGCCCAGAGTCGTTTCAGAGTCCTGGCTGTGGTTGGAGCTGATGCCAGTATCCGAATCTGTGTCATTTGTGTAGGTGTTCAACACCCCTGGAGTTAATGGAGGGATCTCCTCACCGCTGCTGGGAGCGTCGGATTCCTTTCCTCTACTTTCTTTTAGCTGGCATCCATCTTTGTTGCTAAGGTGAAGCGAACTGAACTCCTTGGCTAGGAGTTCGTACTCCCTTGCTTTCATCTGAAGCAGTGAGTCACTGTATTTAATCTCTTTCTGGATGCCACTCAGGTGAGAGTGGATTTTCAGGCCAGCTTTCAGGCTCCTCTCCAAATCGCACTTCGCGTTCTCCAAATCAGAGTTTTCGAGTTCCCAGGCCGCTGCCCCCTCTGCATCTTCACTTCCGTCGATGCCCGAGCTCCTCACCTCTCTCTCAATTTCCGCGGAGAGCTTTTCGATGAGCACCCTGTAGTATTGCAACCGTTCTTCAAGCTGTGCCATCCCCTCGCTGTCGTTCAGGTCCATCGGAGCCTGGCTGTCCTCAGGTGGAAAATCTAGCTTTGGCTCGTTTTCGCTGAACCTGGGCATTAAATACGCCTCCTGAACGTAATTGTCCCCATCATGCCCTACCCGGTCCAGGTGGATCTTAGCTTCACATTTTTCAATTTCCATATCTAACTCTTTCATTCTTTGTACTTGCTGGTGAATGGTGTGATCCTGAGAAATAATTAGATGAACTAACGTCTCCATGTGATCTCGATCGTGAGAAACCGTGTCCTGCTTGATTTTCGCCAGTTTCCGAAACGTTTTCCTGACGATGCGTTTTTGTTTATCCGGGGGTAAAGTTTTCATGTAATTGGCCGGGCTGAGCTCCCATGGCTTCTCACTGTTTTGCACAAGTTTCGTTTCAGCCGTCCTCCACAGTGGAACAGGGAGAAAAGCGTCAGCTTTTACCAAAACAAACTGCATATTGGCTTGCTCATCTCCCCAAGCCTTCCACAACTTGAGGATCCTCGTCAGGGGAGGAAGGGCCCGCTCGGAGCCCCTCCACTTCTCCACGATGCAGTAGTCGCTGGCCTTGCCCAGCAGAAACCGCTTCTCTCCCAAGGTAGCTTCATGCTCCTCCAGCAAAGCCTGGATGACGTCGGTGGAGGTGGTGCGTTTAGTTAATCCACAGACAATCTTTTCCTCCTGGCAAACCCAAACCACAATTTCCTTCTCTTCGGAATCCATGTCCTTAGTTGGAGATCTAAAAGGAAAACAAAGAGCATTATATTTCTGTCATCACCTGTGTAAACTCAGAATGATGGTTTAGCATTAATGCCTTTTCTTGCCTCTACTTTTAACGAGGGACATAATTTGACATCGTGACTACAGACTAGGAAGATGTACTCTAAGATAGGAATGCGAAGCTTTTGGATTTTTATCCAATTGCCTTTCTAGCTGGTTATGGGAAGGGTAAATTGTCACTGAAAACATGTGAAATGTTTTCTTTTTCATTTAGTCTTTTAAAATTAGTCTTGGCTTGTTCGCAGAACAGATACTGTGGTAATAATGGCTGGGACCATGACAAAGGAGGACATAAGATGAGGCATTTCCCTTTATGCAGGAGTCTTAAGGTTAGAGTATATAAGCAGGAACAATCAGATTAGGTATTTTGTAGATCCAAAAATAGCTAGCTCTGTGATTTTATATTATATTCAATGCAGCCATTCTTTCATCGAGCAAGTGCTGATGCCAGCTTTATACAAGCATGGTTGACATCACAGCAGAAATGGTAACAGGAGTAATAGAGATAAACAAAGGCGATGCTTATGCAGGGATCTGTTACAAAAGTGGTATCATGTATCAGGTTTTGCATTGCTGTGTCAAAGTATCTGGCATAGACCATTCAAGGAAGGAAGGAGTCACTCAGTTTCAGAGGCTGTGTTCTAAGGCTTGTTTTCATATACTTGAGAAGAACACCATGGTTGTGTATGGGACATGTGGAGTGGGGAACTTGGTAGACAGGGAACAGAAAAACAGCTTATAATGTGATACAAACACAAAACAGATTTCTAACAGGAAGGAATCATGGTCCTGAAGACCTGCCCTAAATGATCAGCGTCCTTCACCCAGGCCCACCTCCCACCACAAGAGTGATGGGGAAAGGATGAAAAGATAATGATTTAAAGGACTATTTTTTTAGACGTAGAAATATTAGGAAGTGATTGGAGTTGGAATATGCATGCTCATAGATTTGGTAGCATATTCTCTTTTTGCTATTGAGGGAACTGGTGCATTAGTTTGGTTTTGATTACTAGCTAACAAAATAATCGAAACAGACTGCTTCCTAAAGGGGGACAAAGGTTTATTGTGGCTTACAGTTCTAAATGCACACAGCCTAGGGACGTCAACTAATAAGGACTTCTTGCTGATAAAAATCCCAAAGTATCATTGAGCATCCTGTGGCAAGACATGGAGAGGGCACATGGCCGTATGCAGCCACTCCCTATCCTTGCACATGCAAGGATAGGCAACCTTAATCACTTCCTTAAGATTATATTTCTGAACACCATAGTTACATAAATTATCCATTCCCTTGTTACTGTAAATATAGGGCAGAAATAAACCGTTGCATGCCTTCAAATGTAAATTAAAATATAAAGAAGTGTTTATCAAGAGGTAGATAAAAACAGTTTTCTTGAGTTAAAAAGTAAGGGGACTGTATAACTGCTAATAGTCACTTTGGAGAACTGTTGAAACCACATTCCCATTGTGAGTGTCAGCCACATGGACTGTGTCTTTCGCAATTCCTTTCAAAAGAACGCTAGCAAATCGGTGATACAATTTATACTCCGATGTGATTTATGATGCCGTGAGAGATTTGTTGTGCGAGTTAAGGCGAATTATTCATCACATTATGTAATGATGCTGAAGCACATCCTCGATGAAGAAGTTACCAAAGACATTGTCAGACTTCCATGCAGCACTTAAAATGTACAAGGTTTATGTTTTAGAAGCAAAACTCACTAATGCTCTTCTATGGATTTTCTCTCATGTGGAATACACATCTCACTTTAGCTATTTATTTCTGAGATGGAGAGGAAGAAAAATCAGTGACACTAGAGCCAAACAAAGATCAAACTCATTCCTTAGTAGAGGACTTAGGAAAATGAAATGTTGAACTTTAGAAAGTAGAATTTATATCATCACCTGAAATCTATGTAGGATTTTGACAAATATCTTGCAAAATCTTTTCACTCAGTAATTCGTGTTGAATAATATATTTATTAAAAGAAGTGTGGTATTATGACTATGGTTATAGTTCATTGGCTTATTATGTGCCATGCAAACTATGATAAAATTCAGAATGGCAAAAAAAATTACATTCTTACTCATAGAGGAAAAAGTCCACAGCAATATGCAAAATGAAAACAAGTGTGTTCTCAAACGAAGTAATTGACCAATTACTATCTGTGTTATGGCAATAGAGTATAAAGTAGCTGTAAATAATCTTTTATTTATGCATCTTAGCCATGCACATACAATACTAAAAATTACTGCAAATGTTTTAATGCTTTGCAGTTAAGGGTTGTTTATATCAGCTTTGATAATTTTAAAAGCAGTTGCTCATTCTGCATTTCTGTTAATTACAAGTTATGTGATATTTCATAAAGATATAAAAAATATAAACATTAGTTTTCATCTTATTATCAACATTAATTGATAGTACAAGTAACTACAATATTTAAACAAATAAAAAATTTAAGTTATTTTTTTTTAAAATAACTTTGCAAAAGTAGGTAACAAATATGTCATGACTTGCCTGTGTTTTGTCATGTATAAAGGGTATTTTGTTGCTGGCTTGGGATTTTGAAAACAAGTTATTCTCTGATGCTGTTCTGACTGAGTTTCGATTCACCCACTTGACAAATATTTCCTAATCACCTTTTCTATGGAGCTGTACAAGATACAAAGACAAGAATGACTGACTTACAAGACTGTCTCTGGCACACTATGGGAAACAGGTGTTGGGTTGGAATGCGCACACTCTCAGTGACAGATCTACTACTAAGTTCCTTAATACAGCAAGTATATTCAAATACTTCACTGCTGAGTTTCTTAGAGTTTCCCCAAATTTAAAAAAAAGTATCAAAATTAAAACAGAGTCAAAAGTATGATATGGATACAATGTATAGAACTGCTTTGAAATGGAACGTTTTTGTCACTTGAACCTCTGTAGAACAACACTTTATGATTGAAATTTAGACACTTTATGATGTCTTTTATATTACTGACATTGGTGCTAAAAATTGTGATAATCTTATTGAAAGATAGTGAGCTGAGGAGCATTGGGGGTGAATCAGTACTGGCCAGTCTCTACTTTTTTCTTATGACTGTCATTGATTTTAAGCTAAAGATTCATCGGCTATCTGATGATCTGTCACACCAAAACATACTGTTAATGTTGACATATACTACTAGTTTACACATCAGTTGCCACACACTATGGACATCTACTGTGTAGAGACCAGTAACACAACATCCTACAATTCCCAAAGGGTCCCGTGCAGCAAGAACTGTCCCATCTAAAATGCCAATGACACTGTTTAAAGCATATGTTTTTCAATTGTGAATCAAAACTCATAGTCTTGAAGAAACTGGATGCAAGAGGTCAAAAAATTGGCAGTAATAAAAGTTTTTGTAATGTGAAATAACGTCAAATTAGTTAGACTCATGCACAAAATGGATCGATCTAAGGTGCTTCACTGTAGTCTCGGTTCTGAACACACAAGCTTACTTGGCACCCTGTATGGGGTCACTCCACACAAGGGTAACTGTTGCTAAGAGAGGCACATGGCTTATATTAAACATGAACAATTGCTAGATATAAATTTTGATTTTTTAAGAGACACAATAATTTGATTATGAAAACATACTTCTGCTCCTACCAAAATTCCTGAGTATGTATCTTTGCAGTGTACCTTATTAAAATGTTCGCTTTCCAATCTTCCTCTTCTAAATGCTGACTTCAATTTTAAATAAAGTTACATGAATTTTGACTTGGGGTGAAGAAGCACTTTCTAACAATTTCTGAAATATTTCATAAACATACTTCTTCCATTCCACACGATGTGTTTATGAGAAGCTGCCCTGTCAGCATTGATGTTTATCACTGAATGCCCATCAAACCTGAAAAGTATACTTCACATCCTATGCAAGTATTCAAAAAATTCTAATTTTAACTATTTTTTTCTTTGGTTTTTCAGGACAGGGTTTCTCATGGAACTGCCCTGGCTTTCCTGCAACTCCCTTTGTAGACCAGGCTGACCTCAAACTCAGATCCTCCTTCTGCCTCCTGAGTTCTGGGATTAAAGACACGTGCCAACACTGCCTAGCCTAACTTTAATTTTTAAGGCAAAATAAACAGATCCATATTATTAGTGTGAAAATTTTCATATATTTTAATAAATAGTTAAATATAGACAAGTATAGAAAATAATATTTTAAACAAAATGTCTTTATGCTTTATAGCCAGTAAGCATTTGACTTTAACAAATATAGAGAATATTGATAGATTTTGGCCATATAATATTTGTGGGGGGAAAAGTAGTTGGGGTAGAAAGTGTTTAGGAAATCCTAGTTTAAATGGCTCATTGCTTCCACGATTTATCTAAGCTACACCTCTATCCATTTTTATTTTCTTTCCTATGGAATCTAGCAGAAAAAAATGTGTAAAAGCAAAAAAAAAAAAATAAGAGGTGACATTATGAGTCTCACACAGTCAAAACAAATGTTGATGAATGTTAGTCCTCTATTAAATATAACATAAGGTAACTTTCTCCCCTTTTCCATTCCATGGCCAACCTTTTCCATGTAGACATTCTGTTAACCCTTAGCTGACTGGAAGAAATGTGACTTTTGCGTTTTGATGCAAATAAAACTATGCTAGTTGATGGAAAACCCTGGTTTTACACCTTCTCAAAGCTTCCTTCTTCGTTAGGAAAGAACATCGGGATAGTAAATATGGAGTGTGGGTTGTAAGGTGAAAGGAGATGTGTGGGTACAGAGTTATGGGGATAAACAAGGACACCTGGGTGATGGCTGGCTGTGGTAGGAGTCATTGGAATGCGTGAGCATTGTGCTGCTTTCTCACACTTTCCCCAAACCCTAGCCTGCCCGAGACAGAGTGAACAAGCAAGATTATGGTTACGGGGATTTCCAAGCTCACAAAATTTATGCGAAGAGGAAGACAACATCAAATTC